TTAATGAACATTACATTTATGATAGAAGGAAGCCCATCTGCTCTTAAAACTGCTATAATACCACAGTCTTAGAAGGTATTCAGCACCTTCTAAGGTGCTCGATATAAGTGCTCAATAGATTTGTTGAATAAGTGAATGTATGAGTGAGTCTGTTTTCCTTCAAGAGGTTCTGTACCAAATGATTATAACAGGCCATAGGCAGATCATGCACTCGAGTGATATGTGCAGCAGGACATCTGTACACAGCATGTCATCCCTGTAGTAACAGAGGAGCATAGGCTTGAATAGGTGGAGTGACTTTTCTGAGGCCCTGCTAAATCACACAGTTTGGAATCCAGTTCATGTTGACTTCTAATCAGAGCTTTGCCTGGTAAGCCTGGTCCCCCCCAAAACACAGTGTGAGGGAAGAGCAGGTACCCTTAGGGGGTGTGCCTTCAGCTCAGTGACTCCCTGCAGGTGGCATGTGGCTTTTGACAGTATCCCTTTCTTCTGAGCTTCAGAGATGCCACACCCTAGAAGACAGGTCGCAGGGCAGGGATGTGGTACTTAGAATGAAGACATTAACTGATATATTTTCCTTCTCCCACTCAAACTATCTGGAAATGCAGACAGGGACAAGGAAGGAGGAAGGTGATGGGGCTTCAGACTTGTGGCATGTTGGGACACACTCAAGGCACCTTTCTTTTCTTTTTCTTTTTTTTTTTTTTCTGGTTTTTTGAGACAGGGTCTCACTATGTAATTGAGACTGACCCGGAACTCACTATGTAGCCCAGGCTGGTCTTGAACTCACAGTGATCCTCCTGCCTCAGCCTCTCAAGTGCTGGGATTACAGAGGTGCGCCACCACACCCAGCAAGGCATCCTTTCTTCTGGCAAAGAATCTAATATATTAGCCTTCAGCTTCACACTCACATTCTGACTCTCAAGAAACCATTACCAATAGATTTAGGAATATGGCATCTTGACTTCCAACAGATATCAGAAATCAAAAACTGTCTTACCTTTCAGTTTCTGAGACCTGTTGGGATTTTTTAAAAATATAATTTATAGTCGATACTGTAGTCATGTTCTAGAAAGTCAAACTGTCTGGTCCCTGTGGCTGTTTTGTTCTATACTGGGCTATTAAACTTGGGATTGAGAAGATTATGTTCCCTCCTTCTTATAGACAACACATGATTCACCTTCAAGGGGCTTTTAGTAAATTGAAAAACCACCCGAGTCCTGGGTATAAACCCTGAAGCTTACAGAATACTCCACCCCAGAGCAATAAAAAGGTCATGGATGTCAAACCCAGAGGTATAATAAACAGAATTGTCTGGCCAATACAAGGACGTAGCCACAGTCACGGGCAGATGGGGTGAGTCCTCTTACTCCCAAGACATGCTGGTAGCACCGTTTGTAACAAGGGATGCCAATTTTCTGGGCACCTAGCAGCTTTTTCACTTGTGCATTTGGGGTCCATCATGTTTAAAAAATTCATTGAAAGTAAAGTAGAGATGACCCAGAAGACTTTGTGCTTCCTCTAATTTGTAGTTTCTTTGAGCCATTCTGTAAAATGAGTATTTTACAAAAACAGAGGCACTAGGCATGTTCTTTCATTTCATGAAGAAAGAAAGAAAAGAAAAAGAAAAAAAATCTGTGTCTTTTTAACCAAATATTCTTTTGGGCCCATCTTTCTTGCCTGCTTTTTCATTTTCTAATTCATTTATCCCCACACAAAATAGCTCTAGATGACATAAAAGGACCACTGACGCAAGCGTAACTGTACTTTGGCCCTACTCTTAGAAAAGCTTTTTGTGAAACAGAAGAGTCAAAGTGCTCAGGTACAGGTGATTCATGACTGGACACCCAGAAGAACAATCACAATAAGATTCTGAACCCTCTTTGGCCTGCTAAATTTTTCTATTCCCCTGTTACCCAATGGTCAAGAATTTGATCAATCTAACTCAAATTCTCCTGGCTGCAAATTCCCTTCTTTTACACAGTGTCCTAAGACCCCATAGTATGCCTTTATCATGTAGTAATGTACAAAAATAAATGGAGATTTATTCCAACGTATCCAGCTTGGGTTATTTTTTGTTTTGTTTTGTTTTGTTTTTGTCATTCATAGCTTTAGTTCATGATAATATAACAATACTCATAAATTATGACAAATGTACCATACTAATGTAAAGATGTTATTATGGGGAAACTAAGTATGTCGTACACAGGAACTCAGTACTATCTTTTCTGTAAATCTATTCTAAAATTAAAAGTTCATTCTAAAAATTTCTCTAGAACTGACCAAGGAAGGCTTTTCCATGCCCGGCTTGTAGACAGGACTACAGAGACTCTAGGTGGCTCTTTCCTGCTTGTTCCTATACTTCTGAGACTATATTCCCTTGAATCTTTTGTTGCCAATCACCATCAACTTCTAAAGAACATCTCAAAGCAAGACGTGCTTGAAGGCTAAATGAACTTGATGGGTTACATGGACCAAAAGGTCGTCATCATTACTATACTAAGATCTTTTAGCCAAATACAGTAATAATAAAGGGAACTTGTCAGCACTTGTAGAGGAACCTGAGAGAAGCACTTCTTCCTGTCCGTCCTGGGACTCATCCTGGATCTTGTCTTTCGTAAGTGCATCTAGTTTTCAAAGCACAGGGAATGTGATTTCAGTAACACAAGTGGACAGCTTAGTGGCCTGCCTTTCATCACATGACTCCTGAGCAATAGCCAGGGCCCCAGGCCCAGAAAAGCCCATCTTCCCATTCCCTGCTTTGTGAAGATGCTGAGTCACACACCCTGCCTGAGCCCCTCTCAGACTTCTGTCTCTGTTCTCTCCCTCCATCCTTGCTGTTTTTTCCCCCACCGCAACAAGGTAACAACCGCATCCCTCTCTGGTCCCTGTGCACCTTGGTCCCATCCTGAAATGCCAGAATGGGCAGAATTCAAGTCGGGCCTGGAGGCATATGCCTGTAATCCCAGTACTAGGGAGGCTGAGGCAGGAGGATCATTGTGAGTTCGAGACAGCCTGGGCTACACAGTGAGTTCCAGGTGAGTACCAACTACATAGTGAGACCCTGTCTCAAAACAAACAAACAGAATGGGCAGAATTCAGAGACAGCGATAAGGAAAAGCCCATGAACAACAAACAGCTTTTCCCACCTCTGCCTCCATAAGCAGTGAGTTCTGACAGATGTATCCCCCCACTTATGATCACTGCCAAGTCACTAGAGAGAGCTTTCCTATCACCCTGAAAGATCCCAGCTCTGCATGCTGGAGCACACAGAACTTGTCTGTAATGACAGAAATGAGATCCATGGCTGCTCAGGGCAAGGAATGGGGGGATGACTGCAAAGGGACACAGGGAATGTTGAAGGTGACGGACAGGTTCTATATTCTGAGTTGGGTGACCGTCACACATGCAGGTGCTAAGGCTCTGGGACAGGAATAAGTCTGGTAATTTTTGAAGGGCAGAGATTTGCCACATGGCTACACAGCACAGTAAGAGAGGGGAGTGCTCGATAAGACCAGGGAAGCAGGCAGAAGCTGAAGGTTGGAGGCCTCATGCGCCTGGAGAGCAGGTGAAACTTTATTCTATCTCCCACAGGAAGCCTCCGGTAGCTTTAAGCTTAGTCTCCAGGATCTTGAGCCCATAATGTTGGGTAAATTAAGTCAGACACAGGAAGCTAAATTGGAGTGGTTTCTCATATATGAGAAATGTGGAATATAAATAAAGAAGTAAAATAAAGGAGATGGGCTGGGGATTTAACTCAGCAGTCCTGCCGCCTGCCTTGCAAGTGCAAGGACCCGAGTTTGATCCCCGGTACCAAAAAGTAAAGGAGAGATGGTAGGAAACAGGGAGGCAGACTCTGGGGAGATGGAGAAAGGGAGCGGGGGAAGTGGGGAGAACACAGGGAAGGGGGAAAAGGGACCAAAAGAGACTAAGACGTGGTATGATCAGTCCTTCAAAACAAATGTGAATATAATGTATCGCAAACATATTCAATAAAAAAGTTGTTTTTAAAAGACTAAACCTTGCCTTCTGTGTGTGGGTTTTCCTTCTCTGGCCAGCTGTTCCAAAAGTACTGGAATGGCATTTGCTGAAAGGCATAATTCTGGCCCCTGGGTCCCTGGGTCCCCACACTCTACATCCTGGTTCCTCTATCACTTGGCGGACCACCCTCCCCACAGCCTAAGCAAAGCCTGTGTCTCCCTCAGGTTTCTGCTGCTGAAATAGGAGAGAAAATATCAAAATATTTTATCTGCCAACCTGTTAGATGTCTGATATGCCAAGTGCTCTAAAAATCAAAGAATGAATTCTAGAAACAACAGAGCTTAAGAGTAGGAAAATATTCATTGAGAGGATAGCTCCAGGGAGGCAGAAGGAGACCTAAATGGGTAGCAGGGGACCCCACTTTATAGGAAAATTTTATAGAGCAAAACCCATGTTGCGTACAACACGGGTTACAGGAATGAATAACAGTAAGGTTACACGTAGAGTCGCTTAGATAATAGTGATCCTCAATAGGGAAACAAGTCTCATAACAAGGGTGCATGGAAAGAACAGATTTTTTTCTAGGAAATGGTGGGTCCGGAGGTCTTTGTCACCCACCAGGTTGGCTGATGTCTATCTAGACTTCGTTAGGCTCAGGGTTGGCCTTTTGAGGAAGTACACAGGCCTGGTCATCTTGTCTTTATCTTGAGGCCTGGTTTTCAATAGATGTGCCTCTAGCCATGGTTGTGATACATTTCATCTTTGTCCTGACTCTCTTGAGGGCCTGGCCCTGTCTAACTGCCTGAAATATTTCTACCTAACTCTGCTAGGACCCTCTCCAAACCTGTACCCAAGCCATCTTCACAGTCTTCCCAGCCTGTCAGAGGGTCCAGGAGTGTCCTCACTAGGCCAAGCATGCAGTGTTTCGAGCTTAGACAGTGTAGCAGCCCTACGGCCATGGCAAGATCCGGGGTTGTGTGGAGCCAGCCACTCTTGGGGGCCCCCACCCTCCAACTCACCTTCTCCTAGAGTCTGCTTGAGCAGGTCGTGCTTGGCCTGGAGCTTGGTGATGAGGTTACTGCCGTTTACGTATTCTTTGAATTTCTGTAAGACACAAGGCATAGGAATTCACGTGTGACAGGGCCAAGAAACAGGTGCTCTGCCTCTGGAACTGACCTCTGGAACAGAAAGGCCATCGAGAAATCAGGCCAGGGCACAGAGAGGCCTCTAAGGCATCTGCTCCTCAATCTGGTGTGCAGCTGCTCCGTTTGAGAGGCTCTGGGCCTGGCAGGTGGAGTCTGGGAACACAAAGGAAGCTTTCAGAATAGAGCTGCGATGGCTGTTCTTGTCAGATAAGGGCTGTGGGCCACACAGAGCAAAGGATGTCTTTGGTCATCAAGGCTCCCGCTTTTTCTGGGTCAAGACAATACAGCTGAGAACTTCCTGGGGGCCTGCTGCTGGGGCTGCAGAGCTGTTTTGCATCTGTCAGAGAAATAAACTTTCCTCTCATCTGACCCCACTCTGAAGGAGGACCCTGAGACCAGCCCATTAACACAACCCACACAGAGCAACCTGACTTTGTTTTCAGTATGGATGAGGCAAGGAGGCAGGCATGGGAAAGTGCTTTGACCGAGGTGCCAAGGAACATCAGAGGGGGCCAGGACCTTCCAGGTTGCAGTCTCTTCCCTGCTCAGCACCAAGGGTCAGAGACCATCCAGGATACAGACGTAGCTGCCTGACCCTGCTGAGCCTGGCCAAGCTCCACACAGGCACCGGTCTCCCCACTGCCTCCAGCCCTGCAGCAAGAGGCAGCTGCAAGCCAAGGGTTTGGCTGAATCCAGTCCTCAAAAATGTAGCAGGAATCATGGGCTGGGAATCCACGAAGACAGCACTGCCAAGGAGACAAGTGAACCAGAGGAGGCAGAAATGGGTCCCGGGAGGAAGTAAGAAAGCAACTGGGACTGCTGTGAACCTACCAGCCAGTTCCTCACAAAACAATCAGCTCCCCTGTCCCACCCAGAGCACTCCAACAGGGCAGAGAAGAGAGGTGCAGAAGGCCCAGATACCTCGCTTGGCTGGAGGGGAGTCTCTGACAGCACCATCCCCCACCTGCGGGCAGCAGGGATGTGGCTCTCGGACAGGGGCTCTCATACACACAAGTGAAACCCACAGGCCTGGTGCTGGCCCTCTGGGGGGTTCCAGAGTGGCCAGCAGGTGGGAAGTGTAGTGCCCTCTCCTGTCTTCTTTTCCACACTCGTTAGCTTGAGGACCTGGCCTCTTGGTGGTTAAGAACCACTCCCCTTCATATTTGAAGAGAACCCCACTGTTTTCACCCGTGAATGGTAGCGACTCCCCACCATCTTGGATGACAAATGCGGAAAGCATCACCGTGTTCATCCTATCCACAAGGAAACAGGAGCCCAGAACTATGGTAACTTGTGTAACCTTGGGCAGGACAGATCTGTGGTGTTTCTCCAAGTGTGGAGCAGAGGCCCAGTGGCCTCATCACCAGAGGAGGAGACTGAACATACAGACACCTGTCCCACAGTACCATCCATCTGACCCCTCATCTCTTGCCCAAGGCAGAGCTCATGGTGTTCCAGGGCAGAAAGGCAGTGTGTAGTAACTATTGGTTCTCAACAAGATTGAGACCAATCACAAGATGGAGGTGGATCTGAGAATTGGGTAGATTTGGGAAATGAGCCCAAGGTAACATCAACCTAATTGCGTGGATCAACACCAGCTAATTACATACTTCTAATACTCCATCTTAGGTGTTGGCCTAAGACATTCCTTTTTTGGGGGGGATTGGCAGACTAGGAGTGGAGGCCATGGTCACTGAATGTGCACATGGCAGGAGATCTGAAGAGACATCATGAGTGCTGAACAACTAGATGAGAGCCCTAATAATATGGAGCCATTGAGACCAGGAGAGATAGGGCTGAGAGCAGATTGGGGTACAGGGCCTGAACAAACTGAGTAAACTGAAGACCGGGACCTGGAGAAGCTGAGCTGAGCCTCATGCAAAGGCTAAAATCCTGAGCAAACTAGGAGAATCCTTGGAAACCTGAAAGGCAAAGGACACAGAAGTAATAAAATCTGCTGATGACCAGAGGCCTGGCAAGCACTGCACAGCTGCATTTCACATATCCTCTGCTGTTGTGCAAGCCACAGAGATGGCTAAAAGCTGCTACATTTAAACACCTCCTTGGCATCCTCCTTGTGGAACCCCTCCTGACAAGTGGGAGCTTGCTTGCCCTGTATTCTTTCTAATAAATCACACCCAGTTTCATTCCCCCCTGTCATCCTATAGGCCTCACTCTCCCATCGCCATCAGAACAAGAGCCCAGGGTAAGAGAAAACTGGCTATGCCCTGAAATGCATCCTTCAAGAGGATACCTAGGTAGCAACAGATATGAGACCTACCTAGGATATCATCTACAGAGCCTTTAAGAGGAGGAGAGATAGTTCCTCATATAGAAGGGTTGAAAAGTTTGCTCTATTATGTGCTGGTCAGCCCAGCTCTGTAAGTCTCACCTTAGAAGAGGCATCCACTAATGGAACCTGTTTCAGAGTCCCCAGGCTGCTCAAAGTCAGAGTTTTTAAGGCAAGAATGAAAGAATCAGCACATTTAGCCTGGGGAAAGGAAAGCCAGCTCCCTGCACCCATAGAAATAGTCATAGAGAATCACTCTCCAGAGAACAGAATCAAGATCAATATCCAGGAATCCCAGTGCAAATTTTTTTTAAGATAACAAGGATAAATGAAAACATTACAATATCCAACGCCAGCCAAACCCCAAACTAAAGGGCCATTTTGAGAGGGAGGAAGCTTTTCATCCTGGGAGCTCTCATCAGTTTGGAAGACCTTCTGGTCAGGGTACAGATCAGACGGAAGACAGATTTCTTCAACTCCAATATTTGAGATCCAATTAATCTGTGTTGGATAGAAGAGCCAATCCCCTGTCTCCTTGTTTCTCTGTGCCTCTGGTCAAATGGAACATAGCTAAATGGAACTTTATGTGAGGGACTAGAAACTCATGAGCGATTTTCTTAGATTGTAGAAGATACAATTTCTAAAGCCTAAACCAAATTTGAGACAATTCAGCACAACACCACATGCACACAACTTTAGGGTTTCTACTTGGGGCTCGTACCTGGCTCCCTTCACCAAGTTCCTCTAACCCAAATGAATAAAACTTCCGTTTTATTTATTTTTTTTCTAGAGCAGGTAATTTTCAATAACCATCACACAAGCTCAAGCCAATGCTACCCATTGGTAATTCACTTTCTACTTTTCAGAAAACCAAGTCAGGCAAATTTATGTTAAAAGCAGGTTGTAAGTTTCCTCAGTCTGATCAATCCATATGATTTCACAGATTCTCACTCAGGCTGCTCCCAAAGCCACAACCAAGCAGCCAGCAGACACCAGCTGGGGTCTGGGATGAGGATGCCACTTACTGTGAAATAAAACATCTCTGTTTCCTGCTGGTTGGCTCTCCTTTTGGCAATGTTGATCTTGCTCATGTAGGTCTCTGAGGCAGCTGACTTCACAGACTCTGTGGACCGGCTGTGTTGGAAGGCATCGGAGACATCAAAGTCCTCTGCCGTCAGCATGTCCTGTAAGGTCTGCATGGTGGCATCCAGGGTCTTTCTAACCTGGGGAAACATAGCGAGTCCACAAAAACCCTTTAATTCTCATAATGCCTTCAAAACTTCAAAGTCCTTTTCCCAATGCATACTTTATTCTTTTAGAAAAGTCTCTAGGAGATAAGCAAGACAAGCTGATGGGTCCAATGCTGATATGGAAATTAAGACAAATTAATCACTAGTTCAAGATTACAAAGCCAGATGGAGTGAGAAGCCGGGGGCCCTCTAAAGTCATTTTATTGTATTGCTTCTGCCAGAGGGAAATGTGGGGGTGGACAGAGGACTCCAGTTTCTAGGTTTGTTTCTCTACGTGGCCCCACAGCAGCTGCCCCAATGGGAGGTGATCGCTTGAGTAGGGACAACAGTAGAAGACTCTAATCGCTCTCCCAGAATCCAGAGATACTGCACAGGTATACAAGCGGGGCGGAAGAAACCAGCCCTCACCATACCTTGGACGAGACAGCATCATTGTGGCAGGCCCTATACGTGTGACAGCCATCCCGAAACAGCATGGCAAAACTGTCTACATTCATTGTAAGCTTATTCTCCTAGTCCTTTCTGGCCACTCAGACCTCAGCTGAAATATCATCTCCTATCACGTCAGGACCCTCTGAGTTCTTAACCTAGTGCTTATCACTACTTAATATTGTTTCCACATTCATTTATTGTTATTCTGCTTTAACTTTTATTTTGTGTTTTTTTTCCTCACTAGAACATAAGCTGCATGAGAGGAGGTGTGTATTATTGTGTCCATTAACTTTATTCTCTATCCAGAACAATACGTATCGTCTAGCATATGTTCAATAAGTACTTGAATAAATACTCCTTAAATGAAGGTTGTTGAATTAACAAATCAAGTGTTCTTTCTAACACACACTGACAGGAAGCTCAGGTTCAAAATAAATCATCTCCACACCCATTAACAGTCCACAGAGTGCTGGGGGATATCGCTCAGTGACACCGCGCCTGCCTTGCAAGGACAAGTTCTTGAGTTTGATCTCGACACCATAAAAAAACAAAAACAAAACAGCCCACAGAAAGAAGCATTTACTTCACTCTCCCTTCTTCCCCCTGATTTTCCAATTTAAGTTTCATTTAGGCAATTTATTTTTTAATTTTTATTTTTTATTTAAGCGATTTGAGATAGGAGAAGATATAGGGCACAAAGAAAGGAAGAACACAACATGTCCATCTCTTGTCGTTTGCCTGGTTTGCATCTACATAACCTTCCCCACGAATGCCCAGAGTCCTCACCATCCTGAGTCCCAGTGTGCCACATCTGTCCTAGCTCTGCCCTATGTGGCAGTGCAAGGCAGCCCTGTCCTCTCCACTGGACAGCCCTCTTGAGACTCAAAGACAGCACCCACATCTCCTGATGTCCACTGTGACTGTCCATGACCTTGGGTGACACTCCAATCCTGGTGTTCTTTCTCCTCCTCCGGTTGGCTGGGAGCAGGGCTGCCACTGTCCTGTGTGGGCTTTTCAGTTGACGTCAGAATGCAGCCACCTCAGTGGCATTTCCACCTGCATCTGCCAGGGGCAACACTGCACCCAGCTTTGTGGGAGGGGTGTTGGATGTGACCTATTCCTTCAACCCCAATTCCACACCACATCTAGGGTACCTAGGGTTGTTTATTGCACTGTGGGATTTTAAATATCTACTGTGGGGGCCTGGGATTTAGCTCAGTGGCACCATGTGTGCCTCACAAGATCCTGAGTTCCATCCCTGGTATTCCCCCATCCAAAAAAATCCAAAAACCTACTGTGATTTCTGATAATTGAAACTCCTTGTAGAAGACAGGAAGAAAAAAGAAGCATTGTAAAAAGCACAACAAAACCCTATCAATCCTACAACCCAATATAAGCACTAGTAAAATCTTGAATTCTTTCCCTCCAGTCTCTTTTCTACCCCTGTGAACACATGCCAGCCACATGTATGTAGGCTCGGCTTGCCTCAGTTGTGACCACACTGGATTATTGCTTGCTAACTCAACATCTGTGAGTGTTCCCTATGCCATTGCACACTTGGCGTGTGTGGTCGACACAGTTGTCCAGTCTTCTGTCTTATAGATGAAACATCATTTCTCATGCATCCCAGGCTGGAGAGGACTTTGCCACAACAAGCCAGGCCTTCATGAGCAAACCCCTCCCAGGGTAAGGTGCCTGCTCACTGTAATCATAACTATGGCATGTCCACTTGAGTGGAAGGAGAACCACCTAGCAGACTGGTAAGCACAGTCCTGGTTGTGTCTGTGGATGGCTGGCAGGCAGGCCAACAAACAGAATGGGGAAGACCATGCTTGGTGAGAGTGACACCAACAATTAGGCTTGAAAGAAGGTGAAAGTGTGCCCATTTCTGAAGAGCTCCAGTCTTCGCCATCACCTTTGGGTAATAGTCCATGGTTTCTTCAGCCTCTCAAAGCAAGGATCACTCTCCAGGGAGTTCCCAGTCCCTCAACCCTGGACTGGTGCTGCACCCTTAACCCTCCTGTGCTGTGGGCCCCACCTTCTTGGATTAAGAAGCTTCTGGCTCCTCCAGCTCTCCAGGGTGCAGACGGCCATGATGGACTCGCCTGCCTCCGATCCTGTGAGCCTACCTGATCCCCTCCTCGTTGCAGTTACACGTTCCTTATTGAGTCTGGTCCTCCAGAGAGCCCCATACACTCACCTCCTCATTCTCGATCTTGAGCGTGGCCAGTCTGGACTGCAGCTGGTGGTACCGCACAAGCAGTTCCATCTGGACAGGCTGCTGGGCACTGACCTGGCACACCTGCGGGAAGAAGGTGGAGTAGGATGGGGCCCTCACATTTCACCAGCAGCACGGAGAACAGGCTCAGCAAGGCAAAGAGGCCTCAGGTCACCCTCCTTAGCCTTGGCAACTGCAACGCCAGCTGCGAACCAGGGTCATTCTGCTCCAACGCCCACCCACCTGCCATGGCGGGAAATTTATCGTCGTCTCCATCTGTGCTGCCCTTGTGGTTTCCAGCAAGCTTTCATGTAATCTTATTAAGGGAAGCAAATAATGTCCAGGCAGGAGAGTGTGGCAAGAGAGAAAGGAAAGTGCCAGGGATCAGTCAGTGGGGCACCTAACTCAGCTTCTCGCCATGCACTGGCTTAGATGGTTGGGGAGGGAGGAGGGAGAGGAATACAGCTGGCCTCCTCCATCCATGGTCCCATGTCCACAGATTCAACCAACTGAGGATAGAAATGAAGAAATACTGAATCTGTACCAAATATGCACAGCCTTGTTTTACCGTTATTGTCTCCTAAAAGATGGGGTGTGACAGCTATGACACGGCATTACACTGCACTGGGGGGAAGTAACCTAGAGGTGATTTAAAGTATACAAGAGGCTGAACATAAGTTCTACACAAATACTCTGTCATCTTACTTAAGACCCTGGGCATTTGAGATTTTGGTGTCCACAGGGGTCCTGGCCAGGCTCCCTTTGACACTGGGAGCAATGACCAGTACAGTTTTCCCTGTACCTTTTCGTTCAGGACTCTAATACTACCTGTGGACTGGGCTGCCAATTTTGCTACCCTTTCCAGAAACACCACCAAGATCAGAAGGGACGTAGTTGTGCTCTTGACACAGCTAGTTATTTATCACTAGCCAAGTGACCCAAATTTCACCATAGTAACTGAGAGGCCAGAATTGTCAGGTCTAGGTAATGGGCTTTATGGGCAGACTTGAGGGGAGAGCTGCATCAGGAGAAGGGCATCACCCTGTGGGCAGCCTCTGCAGATGCAGACACCTGGAACATCTGGAGCACAAAGCACACGCTGCCTTCTGAGGACCCTCTTTTCCCCCATCAAGCAGGTGCCTTATGTAGCCCCCTGAGCGCCCCTGGGACTCTGGCTGGCAGTGCTGGTGCTCTGATGGTCTGGAACCCCCTTACTCCAGGAGGAGGGAAGAGCACAAACAAGCCCAGGGAGCTATCTGCCTCAGTATTCTGTCACAGCCATGGAAAACAGACTCAGACACAGTGTCGGGCAGAGTCCTGGGGAGACTGACCTCATCTCCCATGTGGGGCTGGAACTCGAACTTGAGCGGAGGACAGAAGACCTGGTTGCACATGTCCATGACTGTGTGCTTATCACTGCGGGAGTCCAGGTTGTCCACAGCATTCTCGATGACGTCCAGTCCCTCATGGCGAGAGGTTTCCAGGTTGTACTCGGCAGAGAGGTAGGTCCGGAAGGTGCGGGCCAGGCTGGTGTGAAATCCCAGATCACAGCACTTGGGGAAGGGCAGACAGAGGGTGCAGATAAGAGCAGGTGGTGGCTCAAAGCCATTTTGTCCTGCGTATAAACCACGGGGAAGCCCACTAGGGCTGGGCATTGAGGTTTGGGTAACAGAAGAGCTCTCAGCACCCTCCCAAATCTGCATGTTTCTCATCTCAAGGCTTTGACACAAACACCCTCTGCCTGGGGTACCCTTTCCCCACCATTCAGTTTAGAGGACCTGTCATCCAGGAAGCCTCGCTAACAGCTGTGTCTGGTGCCCCTGCCCCTCAACACGAACCCTGCCACATGGCATTGTGACTGCCTCTTCACATGTGCTCTGCAGGGCACGCCCCATAAAGGCAGACCTCTGGCTCCTGGGCACGGCTGCCCCTTACATCCCAGAACACAGTAGGTGCACCATAAAAGCTTGGCAAACAAATGCACAAAAGGGTTGTGTGAGCCACAAAGAAAGTGGGTAGGCAAAAAGAGAGGCCTGGCTTTAGGCAATTCGGAAGGCAACTCCCTCTCCTGCAACGGTGTGGATTGGTCCTCCTCAGCAGCCACCAGAAAGTGGAGACCCTCTGACCTCCTCCTGACAGGACACACTGGGGCCAGAGGGAAAGGAGCCAGCAACCAGCCCTGAAATCTTACTAAGCATCTACAAGGTGGGTTCCCTTTATCTCCACAGTCCCAGCTCCAACAGAGATCGTGGCCTCAACACTCACTGCCCTTCCCCTTAGCAGGGCCCCACTGGCCAGGCAGCACCCTACACCAGCTAAGGAGCATGGCCACTCCCTCCAGCAAGGAGATGCACCAGCCCAGTTCCCAGAGTGCTCACGTCAATGAGATCAGAGACATCGTGGATGTAATATTTGCTGATAGCTGCGTTGGTGGCTGCCAGGTTGAGCAAGTAGTCATTCCGGGCCTTCGTGCACTTTAGCTTGTTCTCGGAATACTTTGCCTGCCTCTGGAAGAAGAAAAGAGCAGGCATCCGAGCTAAGCCTCTCAGGGGAAGGATTCGTGACGTCCAATCCCACCCCATACCTGTGAAATGCAGGAAGTGCAGGCCCAGCACCTCACCTGCCACTAGTGTAGCCAGCAGTAACATCTGACACCACAGCCTCAAAGTGGCCTTAACAGGATGGGATACAAATGGAGCCCCAGGGCTTCCCAAGGTGCTCGGGAGCCTCAGTAACCGGGACCTCATCCATGCTCAAGCCCCATCTTCCTCCTCCTCCATCCCCACCCCGCCTCTCCTTTGCCCGCCTCATCTCTTTCCCTTTCCCTCTCCCTCTCCTCCTCCCCCACCTCTCTTTCCATCTCTTTCTTTCTTTTTCAGTCTCAGAGATTGAACCCAGGCCTCGTGTACGCTAGTTGGGCACTCCCACTTTGATTTATATCCTGAGCCCTTTCTATTTTGTTTTGAGACAGGATCTCACTAAAGGCCCACTGGCCTTAAACTTAACCCTCCCCTCTCAGCCTCCCAGGTAGCTGGGACCACAGGTGGGAGCCACCACGTCTCACATACAAGTTTCTGTACAGACGTGTTTGAATTTCTCTTGCATGGGCACCTAGGAGTGGAACCGTTGAGTCACGAGGCAATAGGGTATCTGTCTAACATTTTAAGGAGATGCCAGACTCTTTTCCAAGTAACAAAAACATGTTATGTTCCCACCAGCAGTATGCGAGACGACTCCAATATCTCTACATCCTTACCGATACTTTTTAAAACAATTTTAGCCTTTCAAATAGATGTGAAGCAGTATTTCATTACTGTTTTGTTGTTGTTGGAGGCACTGGGGATTGAACCCAGGGCCTTCACACTGAGCTACATCCCCAGCCCTTTTCTATTTTGAGAGGGTCTCGTCATATTGCTCAGGCTGGACTTAAGTTGCAATCCTCCTGCCTCCACTGCCTGGAAGGCTGGAATTACAGTTGTATGTCTCCATGTCCAGCTTCCATTATGATTTTGATTAGCATTTCCTTAGTTATTCAGGATATTGGTTATCTTTTATGCACTTATTGAACACTTCTATATGGTTACCTTTTTTTGAGAAATAGATATTTAAATGTTTGCCCATTTTTAAATTGGGTCTCTACCTGGTTGTTATAGTTTTGCTTTCTTTCAGAAATTACCCTAGAGAGCCAGGCAGGGCAGCACACACCTGTAATCCCAGCACTATGGATGCTGAGTCAGGAGTATAACAGCAAGTTTGAAGCCAGCCTGGGCTACATAGTGAGCTCAAGACCAACCTGAACTACATGGAAAAATCCTGTCTCAAAAATGTAATAAGAAAGAGAGAAAGAAGGAAAGAAAGAAAGAAAGAAAGAAAGAAAGAAAGAAAGAAAGAAAGAAAGAAAGAAAGAAAGAAAGAAAGAAAGAAAGAAAGAAAGAAAGAAAGAAAGGGAGAGAGAGGGGAGAGAGAGAGAGAGAGAGAGAGAGAGAATCACAG